AAACTGAATATTCAAAAGCTCTGAACTCGCATTTCACGCACGTTTTAACTCCTTATGGCTTTCTGGTTAATGTCGGGCGCAGACTACAATTAGACAAAGAGCTGTTGGTTTTGTCTCTGAAATCCTCCACGCGGTCGGAAAAGTTAAAATTATGCCAATTAGGAAATGAAAGAATTAAGAGGGGAACCGTCGAGACTGCACTCCTCTCCGCTAGATCGTTCTTCGTTTGCTTTCAGATTCGTGTATTCGTGTCGCAAGCTAAGAAAAAGTCTAGTTTCTTAAATTATTCTTTTATTTTAATAGCTCCCTTAGTTTAAAGACGCCAGTGTCTTTTTGTATATTAAAATTAATTGCTTATCTGGGCTTAGTCACGTGATTAATCACGTCATCAAACCCCTATGAGAGTTATTTTACCGCAAGTGTTATAGCCTGCAAACAGGCTCCCGGCGAGGACGGAAAAAAAATTTCGGCGAGTGCGTAAACAGAAGAATTCGGAAAGCGAAGCGATCGCGGGAGCCTGATCGCAGGCTACAAGTGTTATTTCAATATGGTCAGGGAGTCCATTAATCCTAATATGGAGTAGCATCTTTCTGGACCCCAAATTGACAAAGTTATTATGCTTTAAAGCTTGTTAAGTAGGAAGGATACTGGGAACGTTTGTATATATTAGTATGGTCTTTGCGAGCATTTGCGAGCATGAGAGCAGTGCGTTTATTTTTGCGAGCACAAGCGGTGATCAAATTTGTCTTGCGAGCAGCGAGCACTTTAGAAAATACCTGATGGCGTGCAGCGGGCACTCCGGAAATTTAACACACCCGACCGGTTGCGGCACACGCAACCGATTATGATTTTATTGCCAAAACCTATTTTCCCTTGGATTACCTGGTTTACCAGTTCCACTAAAATTGTTTCAATTTCTAAGCTCAATTTAAATCCCAGATATGCAGTTATTTTTCTTCAGTTTGGGATTAATTTAACAGCAAAACTATAAACAACTTTCTACCTTTGCGGGTGCCTTTCTCGAAGAATTC